CCAATTTCAGACCCGATTTTAGACCCGATTTTAGACCCGATTTTGCTACTAAATCCCTCTACTAAAACCCTCTATAATAATATCTGAAATTCGGGAACACCCGCGAATCGGAGTCATCATCCGGTGCGCGGCACTCGAGACCACGCGCGATGGGCTGCGGCGCGTCCACCGGGGCGACCCCCCGCGAGCTGTCGGACGCGCACCCTAAAGAAGCGAAGGATCGCGCGCCCGCTCAGAATCACTCGCCCGCTCGCGCGGTCGGCGCCCGCGGGAGCCCGTGGGTGCTCAAGACGTCGCCCGGACACTCCGGTGCCGTGTGGTTCCAGGGCGGTGACAAATGTGAGGAGGTCGAGCGCCGAGGCGGACCCGGGACGATACGGAACGCCATAGCGGACTTCAAAGCGCACCCTGACAAGTACGTGGCGATGAGGTACTTTCCGGACATGCACGACGAGGACTGGGAAGAGCAGGACTGCACCCTGTTTTACCGCCCGACCAAACAATCGTCGTCGCTCGCGTGTGATAAGAGGAGCGGAGGCTGGACGGTTCTGGAGTGGACGTGCCACCCGCTGAGGCCGGACGTCGAGGTCAAAGACGACGGACACGAAAAGCGATGGCTTGAAACTTTCAAAGAGACTCTATACTCTACAAGCAAGACGTACAAGACGCGAGGCGTTTCCCCCGGGCGCGGCCAGGGCCTCGCGGACGTCCCGTCCCTCTGCCTGTGGAACACGATCAGCCCGAACGATCTCAACCAGGGATCCGTCGCGAACTGCTACATGATCGCCATGTTCGCCGCGCTCGCGGAGTGGCCCGGTGCTATTAAGAAGCTGTTTCGAAAGACGAAAGGCGCGGACGAGATGCCGCGCTCGAACACTGCGAACGAGTACACGATAACGCTTTACGATCTCGAGAATAACAACATGGAGGTCGACGTCGTCGTGAACGAACTCCTCACGGTGATCGTGGACAAGGGCGGAATTAATGGCCAAAATCTCGGGGTGAGTATATCCGACTGCTGCGAGTTGTGGCCGTGTTACCTCGAGAAAGCGCTCGTGGCGCACTGCGGCGGGTGGAACGACATCGGGAACGGCGGGTGTTCCAGCCATGTATTCGAGATTGTCACCGGATGCCCCAACGTGTATTCCTTGGACCTCAAAACCTTCACTTGCTGTGGGAACATCGCCGGGGCAAAGCGCAGCAACAGCGTGCGATGGTATAAAGAGTCCGCGCTGGCTCAATCCATTTATTATAATCCACCGTGGCCAAGCGCGAACGGCAAACCCGTGGTGCAGCCGAAAACCCAGGACGGTTGCATCGACGCGCTGTACGCGTACGATAAGGCAAACTACCCGATGATTTTCTCCTCGGGCGTAGACAAGAACAGCGCCGCAACCGAAAAGAAAGGCTATGTTGACAACCACGCGTACACGCTCATAAGGGTCGAGAAGAACGTCGCAGGGAGCGGTATAGACATGTTGCTCGTTCGGAATCCCTATGGACGCGGGGAGCTCACGAGAGGAAGGTTTGTCGACGACGGACCAGGGTGGAAGGAGCACCCGAAGATACAAAAGGCTTTGCGCCCCGTGTTCGAGGACGACGGCGTGTTTTGGCTCGAGAAGAGCGAGTTCTTCGAATACGTCGACAGCATCGAAGTGCTCGCGCTGGACATGACGACGTTCGTGAAGAGCTCGTACAAGCCGCCGCCGCTGGACTATTGCCCACAGGATCATTACCCATAGCTGTTGGGTGTCACGTTCAACTTAGAATCGCTTAGAAGAAACGCCGGCGGGCGTGAGTCGCGGCGCGCGTAGCATAGAGTGACTCGCACGGAACGTCTGATAGAATATCTGAAATTCGCTGTGTTAAGAAAACGTGCTCGGTGATCGTAAGAGTGTTTGACAACCTGGAAGCTATCTCGCTCTTGACCTCTATTTCTCAACACACCCCCTCGTCAGTAGCCATCTGAGACGGCAGAAAGGTTGAGGATAAGATGGATGCGGACGAAGCAAGAGTCCATCGAGAGTGATATGCTTCAAATGTGTAGCAGAGCTACGCGGCATCCGCAATGTTCGCGAAATACCGAATCTAGATTTGTGACAGAAAAGGTTACGGTCAGATGATTTGGTCTCTGAAGCCGCCACCTGTGGCGCCAAGGTATGGCGTGTACGACCCTGAACTGCGGCTTCTGGTTGCGCTGTCACATGCGGCGACTCGTTGCGCGGGCACATGTGGCGACTTCTGACTGCGCTGGCACACGTGGCGACTCGTTGCGCGGGCACGTGTGGCGACTTTTGCCATTTTTGCACCATGGCGGGGTGGCTTGTTGCGCTCGGTTCAGGATCGGATCGTCGGTGATCGTACCATGGCGCCAACGATGGCGGCTTCATTATTGCGCCGTGGCGGCGGCTTTCCGCGTGCTTGATCGTGTACCCGGGGTCTGCATCGGCTCAACGCAGCTGTGGAAACGTGAGGGAGGTGCTGTGGCTCTCGATCTGAGCGCACGCACGAAGTCCCTTATCCTGTTGAAATGTGGTCGTCTTATCCGATCGGGGTCTCGAAGACAGCGGGACACGAGGAATGCCACGAATGATGAGGCGCCCCCTTGTCGCGCTGCCAGAGAGGATGGATGAGAGTGAAGACCACGAGAGCACCCGGGTACACGATGAAGCACCGCGAGGGAGTCTCCGAAGATCGGCGATCGAAATTCTTCGAAGGTCTCCGAAGGTCCGTCTTTTGAGGAGAAGACGGGAAACCGACTCTCACGCCGATGGCAGCACGCCGCGATGGCACCCTTGTGATGCTGCGGAAAGATACTAGAGGCGAGGGTGCTGCGCCCCTGGATCAAGCGTGGTGGCTCATAACCTGTTAAGAAAACGTGCTCGGTGATCGTAAGAGTGTTTGACAACCTGGAAGCTATCTCGCTCTTGACCTCTATTTCTCAACACGCTGGAAATTCGGGAAAACCCGCGAATCCGAGTCATCATCCGGTGCGCGACACTCTCGAGACATGCGCGACGGGCTGCGGCGCGTCCACCGGGGCGACCCCCCGCGAGCTGTCGGACGCGCGCCCTAAAGAAGCGAAGGATCGCGCGCCCGCTCAGAATCACGCGCCCGCTCAGAATCACTCGCCCGCTCGCGCGGTCGTGCTCGCGGGAGCCCGTGGGTGCTCAAGACGTCGCCCGGACACTCCGGTGCCGTGTGGTTCAAGGGCGGTGACAAATGTGAGGAGGTCGAGCGCCGAGGCGGACGCGGGACGATACGGAACGCCATAGCGGACTTCAAAGCGCACCCTGACAAGTACGTGGCGATGAGGTACTTTCCGGACATGCACGACGAGGACTGGGAAGAGCAGGACTGCACCCTGTTTTACCGCCCGACCAAACAATCGTCGTCGCTCGCGTGTGATAAGAGGAGCGGAGGCTGGACGGTTCTGGAGTGGACGTGCCACCCGCTGAGGCCGGACGTCGAGGTCAAAGACGACGGACACGAAAAGCGATGGCTCCAGCCGTACGTGAAAGAAGATCGAGGCAAGACGGTCAAGACGCGAGGCGTCTCCCCCGGGCGCGGCCAGGGCCTCGCGGACGTCCCGTCCCTCTGCCTGTGGAACACGATCAGCCCGAACGATCTCAACCAGGGATCCGTCGCGAACTGCTACATGATCAGCACGTTCGCCGCGCTCGCGGAGTGGCCCGGCGCGATCAAGAAGCTGTTTCGAAAGACGAAAGGCGCGGACGAGATGCCGCGCTCGAACACTGCGAACGAGTACACGATAACGCTTTACGATCTCGAGAGCGCGCCAGTCGCGCGGGAAGTGGACGTCGTCGTGAACGAACGCCTCGCCGTGGACGTCGACAGCGGGGACAAGCTCGGGGTGGCGACATCCGACTGCGCCGAGCTGTGGCCGTGCTACCTCGAGAAAGCGCTCGTGGCGCACTGCGGCGGGTGGAACGCCATCGGGCACCGCGGGAATGAAGGAGAGGTATTAAGGATTCTCACCAGATGCCGCAACGCGTATAACTTTACCCTCAAGGACTTCGCTCGCTGTGGGAACATCGCCGGGGCAAAGCGCGGCAACAGAGTGCAAAAACGGAACGGGGAAGGTCGTTACAGGATACCGTGGCCAAGCGCGAACGGCAAACCCGTGGTGCAGCCGAAAACCCAGGACGGTTGCATCGACGCGCTGTACGCGTACGATAAGGCAAACTACCCGATGTGCTGCTCCGCGATGCGGGACGGGAACACCGCGGCGACGCTCGCGGACGGTTTCATCGACAACCACGCGTACACGCTCATAAGGGTCGAGAAGAACGTCGCGGGGAGCGGTATAGACATGTTGCTCGTTCGGAATACCTGGGGACGCGGGGAGCTCACGAGAGGAAGGTTTGTCGACGACGGACCAGGGTGGAAGAAGCACCCGGAGATACAGAAGGCTTTGCGCCCCGTGTTCGAGGACGACGGCGCGTTTTGGGTCGAGAAGAGCGAGTTCTTCGAATACGTCGACAGCGTCTGCGTGCTCGCGCTGGACATGACGACGTTCGTGAAGAGCTCGTACAAGCCGACGCCGATGCTGAAATTGTGCCCACAGGTTCATTACCCATAGCTGTTGGGTGTCTCTCCGCCCACCCCTCGCTTTCAATCCCCGCCCTCGGCGCCTTTCAACTTCAACTGACGCCTTTCAACTCCACCCTTTATTCTACGGAGAAGGTCGTCGACGCGTCCGTCGCCGCGGCGCGCGCGAAGGCGGAGGACGCGAGGAAGGCGGCGGCGGAGAGGGCGCGGCGGTCGAACGTCACGATCAACTTAGAATCGTAGTTTAGTCGTGAACAGAGATCGTGTTTATTAGAAAGAAATTCAATAGCTCGTCCGTCTTCGTCTTCGTCATCCTCGGCGCGCGTTCAGTTACCCCCCCCCCGCCTTCGCCGCGGCCGCCTTCGCCGCGCGCGTCTTCTTCGCCTTCGTCGGGATCTTCGGCTTCGGGAGAATCTCCGACGTTTTCTCCGCCGCCGCCGCCGCCGGCGGCGTCGGGCTCTTCACCCCCGGGGTCTTGTCCGACGGCACCAGCGGCGAAAACGGCGGCGGCGGCGACAGCGGCGGCTTCCCCGCCGCGGCCGGGCCGTCCCTCCCGCCGCCGCCCTTGATCTTCATCGCCGCGACGCCAGCCTCGATCTCGGCCGCGTTCACCGCGCCGTTCGCCTCCGCGGCGGGCGTCGGCGGCCGCAGACGAATCTTCAAGACGCCCTTTCGGACGTCGAACGTCGCGCTCTTCCTCCACTTGCCGCCCTCGTCTGCGTTCCACCGCCCCCGCGCCTCGCTCGGGATCTCGATCTTGACGTCGTGGTACCCGTCCAGCGCCTTCACGCGGACCTCGTTCAGGGACACCATGATCTCGCACTGCTCCGCGGTCTGCACGTCCGGCAGCGTCACGAGCACGTCCACGCCGCCGCCGACGACGCGCCCGACGAACGTGCCGTCGTCGGCGGGGAGATGCACGATCTCAAACTCCGCGTCGTCCGGCAGCGAGTCGCCGGGGGTCGTCCGGAACACCGTCCAGTACACGATCGAGGACGCGCCCATCGCGACGAGGATCCAGAAGAAGACCTCCGCCATCGGCTTCGCGAGCTCGGCCGGGTCAAGTGAATACTTCTCCGGAAGCGGCCCGGCGCGGCGGAGGAACCACGCGGGGAGCGTCGGCCATCGCGTCGCCACCGCGCCCGCGAGCGGCAGCGAGAGCTTCGCGATCGCAGCCTTAAACCGGACAATCTTCGGCGTCGCGCGCCTGCGCACGTTATCCCGCACGAACGCAGCCTTCTCGGACGCGCTCGCGCTCGCGCCGGTCCACCACCCGCGGAGTCTCTTCCACGCGGCGCGCGACCACTCCAGCGCCTCCTCGCCGAGCTCGCCCGCCCTCGCGCCCTGCCGCGACCAGTACTCCGCCGTCGTGCGGCTCTTCCTCGGCGGGCCCTCGTCGACGTCCCAGCCGCCCTTGCGGGCTTCGTACTCCCTGCGCGCGCGCCCGGACTTCTGGACGTGCTCCCAGAGGAACCCGAGGTTCCGACGCGCCTTCGCGAACGTCTCGACGACGTGCTCGAAGAGCTCGCGAAGTTTGCCCCACGCGGCGATCGCGAGCGATTTTCCCGTCTCGACGTGCGGCGCCGCTTTCGTCGCGATGAAAGCGAAGACCTCGTCCGCCTGCTCGAGAACGCCGACGTACGCCAGGAGCGCGCGCGCGTTTTGCTTCGCGAACCCCGCGGCGCCGACGACGTGCTCCGTCGCGTGGGCGGCTCTGCGACGCACCCACGGCGGGAACCACGGATCTTCTTCGCCCTCCGCTCCGCTCGAAGCCTCGGCCTCCTCCTCCGCCTTCGCGGCCGCCTCCGCCTCCGCGCGCGCTTCCTCCGCCGCCGCGGCCGCGACCGCGTGCTGCTCTCGAAGCGCGGAGAGCTCGGTCGCGTGCGCGTCGCGCTCCTCGAGGATCCGGCGCTCCAGCGCGGCGATCTTCTCGCTCGCGCGCGTCGTCGCCTCTTCCGTCGACGCCGCGGACGCGGCGGACGCCTCCTGCGTGGGTGAAGCGATCGGTCAGTCGAACGTCTTACCGGTCAAACGTTGAAAGGGAAGCGCGGGTGAAGAGTGACGACGGGAAAAGTCCTTAAGGAACGGCGTGCACCACGCGAACGGGGTCGTATGGGAAGCAGTCTCACCTCCTCCGCGCGCTTCGTCGCCGCCAAAACGCGCGCTTCCGCGTCCGCGACGGACGCCTTCATCGACGTCAGCTCCGCGCTGAGGTCGTCCACCGCGGCCGCGTGCTCCGTGAGCGCCGCCTCGCAGACGGCGCACGAGGCAACGCGCGTCGACGACGGTTCGGGGGGCGAGGGGTCGTCTTCGGCCGTCTTCGTCGGACGAGGCGGGGACGACAGATCTGGCGCGTCGTCCGGGATCATCTTCGGGGGCGCGCTCGCCGCCGCGGCTTTCGCGCGGTGGCACAGCGTGTCCGTCGCGTCGCATTCTTGCGCGGCGACGCCGCCGACGAAGAGCAGCGCCGTCGCGAGGACGCACAGCGTCGCGCGGGCCCGCATCGTTCGCGTGCGGCGCGTTGTGATGCTGACCGGTTTAAAACATCCACGCTGGAGAATAAAAAAGTGAACGTTCACTCTCTTCTGCAGCATGCGGTCGCGTCGCAGACCACGAGGCGCCGACTCGGCGTCGCGCGCGATCGCGAGCGCGCGCGCTGCCCCGCTCCCGCGGCCTCCTCCTCCGCGCGTCGCACCCGATGAGCGCCCCGCCCATCCCCCGCCCGGGCGAGGAGATCGACCTGAAGAAGGAGCTCGAGCGGAAGCGACGCGAGCGGAAGCGCGACGCGTACTTCGCCGAGCTCGCGGAGCAGGAGAAGGGGCCCGCGAAGAAGAAGGGCGCGGTCGCCGCGGGGGGGAAGAGAGCGAAGGCGCAGGCGACGACGAGCGAGAAGGGCGGCGGCGGCGGCGAGCCCGCGACGGCGGCCGCGACGACGACGACGACGACGACGACGACGACGACGACCGCGTCGACCGCCGCCGGCGCGAAGAAGATGGCCTTTCCGATCGGGCTGCTGACGAAGAAGAAGATCGCGTCGTCGTCCTCCTCGGGCCCCGGGCTCGCGCCTCCGACGGCGGGCGACGGCGGCGGCGGCGCGGGCCCCGAGGCCGCGAAGGCGAAGGCGTCCGCGGCGGGGACGACGATCACGGGGATCCCGCCGCCGCCGGACGGGGAGCCGCCGGAGGAGTCGGACGGAGCGAACGCGCGAGGGTTCGTCAAGTTTATAGTCCCGGAGGGACACGGGAACGTCGTCGAGGGCGGCGAGAGCGGCGGCGGCGAGGGCGACGACGGCGACGACGACGACGAAATGACGCCGTCGCTGTCGAAACACGTCCGCGTGCAGATCCCCAGAGGCCCGATCGTGGAGGTGACGCTCCCGCCCGGGTGCGTCCCCGGGGAGACGCTGACGGTGCCGGTGCCGGAGTACGCGCCCGACGACGTCCCGCCGCCGCCGCCGCCGTCGCTGCCCTCTGGTATCGGCNGCGGCGGCGGCGGGGGGTCGTCGGGGGGGGCGTCCGGCGGCGGCGGCGTCGGCGGCGTCTCGGGGGGGACGCAGGGGGGGGGCGGCGTCTCCTCGATGGGGGGGCTGGGGGGGAGCTGGCGGCGGTGGTGTGTCGGCGGCGGCGGCGTTTTGTCGTCGTCGTCGTCGTCGTCGTCGTCGTCGCCGCCGCTGTTGTCGCCGTCG